TTAGATTACATAATGGTCAAAGACCTTACCTGGGCCTGCCTCGGCACAGTGATGACATCAATGAAACTCATTCAAGGCCTTTGGCCACTTTGACGTTGTTCGAGCGAAACTGACAGACACACTGCTCCCTGCTTCTCACAGTGAAAGGCAATTAAAACCCTTTTGAACAACACTCCTCATGAGCAGTCCACACACAAGGTGCTGAAGGGCTAAAATGTCCCTTCTACAGACAGCTAACTAGTGCGTGTTCCACTCACACATTAAGAAGAAAAGAGCAAGCTCTCACAAACAGATTATTTTAATTAGTCATCAATTACAGATGGCAGGGAGAAATAAATCCCTGTCACAGCAAAACATATTATAAAAATATAATGAAAAGATGATTAATACATATTTCCATGTCCAAGTAGATCAAGAACCAGTCCCAGATTTCCCTTCACAGATTCCAAGCTGTCCGCTCCCAGCATGCCAATCTGTCCTGTCCTTATTCACATCCTGCCCTGCGTAGGATGCCCTGTTCCTAAGCTTCAAATGTTTCCCGATTTAGCCCAACCAGGGCTTGTTGTAAGCATTTATACACAGAGTGTGACGAATGCCAACGATGACCACATACACTCTGCAGGAGATTTATAATCTTTGTGGCACTGTTTTTATATGCAAGTCAACATTAGCAGGTGAGAAAAAAGCCCCAAACGTAGAGGGTTTTAGCAGAGTATGCTGATTTTGTGCGTAGGTGAAGGCCAGTGCAGGTGGAGTCAGTCATGCGCGGGTCGTCCTTCGTGGGGCAGCGAGCAGGTCTCAGTAAATGAGTGTAGCAGAGGCGCAGAGGGTATATCAAATTGCACTCGGTGAGAAAGAATGCTCCCAAAGGTCATAAATCAGAGTTGGGGCAAGATTCCGCGCCCTTCTGCAGCTCAGCAGGCCTGTTTACACTGACGTAAGTGGCACTCAGAAGACTGCCACTAATGCCAAGCCCATCATTCACACACACAAATTAATTTACCCTAAAAGAAAAGGAAGTCTCTGTACCCTAAAAACAATATCATGCATTTAATCCAGCTGAATGACAGCTCAATTAGTGCCAAAATAAGGAAAAACTATCTTTACATTAGATTTCAATCATCTAAATCCAAGCATATTAGAGGCGGGAGAATGACAACTATATTGTAATGGTTTTGTTTACTCTAGTGTATTTCTATTCATTAGGACATTTATCCCAATGTTGATGTTTGTTTTACGAATGTGTTAACACTGCTCTGTTATTGTCTGGTCCAAAGTGTAATCCCTTTGAAAGCAGCGGGCTCGTGGACTTAATAGTTTTAGTGTCCTTGACTAAAGTAATAAATTATTCCTAAACAAATTCCTGCAGGGCAAATAAATATCATAAACTGGGAATACGTATCAACAGCAGGGTTCTGTCTTGGATCAATATGAAAGGACAACTAACCCAGGAAAACAAGTTGTGGACCATAAATTTGAAAAACAATTTCCTTTGGCAGGCCTACCACAATGAGACGCCTCGCAAGAAAACACAAGCAAGGTGTCCAGCAAATCATTCATGGCGGCATGTGCAAGCATTTATCAGCGGCATTGAGACAGACACCAATAACTTACCAGCCCTATTAACGGCCCTTGTGTTGTTAAGTCATTGACAAATAAACACAGCAAAGGCTTGTTTTAAACCCATTGTTCACACTACATCGGAGAGAAAACTATCCTTCTTTAGAATAATATCAGAAATGAAAGAACACCAAGTTAACAGACACTTTCTTAGTTAAACAATAGAGTGTGATAGGAAGCTGGTCGCAGTCTGTTTGTGTGTTTTAGCATGTGTGTGCACGTGCTTTTGGGGGTTCCTGTGTATAAGAGGCTTAAGTGTGCTCATGTAAACACCAAACGTGTAGTGCTGCTCAGGAGAAGCCTGTGTGGCCGGTTCGCTCGGCGTCTGCCAGGATCATGCTGTAATTTCTACAGTAACAGGAAACAACATCTTTGCAGACTTAGAACAGCTGAGAAACACAGTGCTCCACTTTACAAATAACACAAACAAACCAAAGTTCTCCAATGTAGAGATACTCTGTGTTCATTCGTGAATGTTACACATTTAATTGGACCTATTTCTCCAGGGGGAAAAAAAGAAATCCAGCATGAACTTTTTAAACAGGATGTTGGAGATACTGAGTGGAGTTTGATTCCTCCCTCTGCTCAGCCAGCACCCTCCATCATCCCAGTGACACTCCCTTTCCAGCCCCAGCCCTGTCTGCTCCCAACAGGAAATCATAACTCCTTAGAATCCATCCTGGACTTATCCCAGCGAGAATCCAAACAACACACTTCAGTCAAAAATAAGTGTCTTCTAAAGCCCTCGATTTCTTAAGAAAACCTTTCTTCCTCAGTTCTATATCTATAACTGACTTTTGAATCCTTACATTTAGAGGCATTTTGTTTATTTGAATTGTAATGACTCATTTCAATAGGAGAGCAGCCTTTAACAATATATCTGCTGGAGTGTAATAGCAGGTTCATGAACTAAATTTTTCAACTTTTTCAGACTCAAACTTACAGTCCATATTTTACACCTTAGCATTAATTGCTAGATGTTTATAATGCAAATAAATGGTTAAATATCCAACTGTTAACATGTATGAATAATTCTGACTATGTATGGTATTTCTTGCCGTATCATTAACAGACGATTGAAGCTAGTTACCGTAGCTCATACAAATCCATCATTACATGTAGTGGTCAGTCTTGGAAAACAATGGCTTATGATTGCTGCCTCCCCAATGTTGTAGATGCCAAACAGTTTACATCTAGCTTTCGCTTCTCATTTGTAAATCTTCTGCTACCCAGGCTTTATATATTTGCAGAAAGTTGGATGACCCTCCACGGACAAACATCTTGCGCTTGGAGCGCTAACTCGCAGGCTGGGATGTTCAGACACACACGATTGCTCTTGCGTTGCTTTCGGCATCATCAACCTTGCTCTTATCTGTGATCTTTAACTAATTGGTCAACTTTAATGCTGCTCAATATTAAAAACACTCAATTTATTGTTAGAAATTCAGAAAAGGGCAACTGTCTGGAAACACAAAAATGTTTCCATTATCTCACATTCTTTCGATAATTAATGACCAAAATCTAATCGCATACTTTTCTATACTGCATTAAGCCTGACTTTGAAGATATCCTTAGAATGTTGAGTGACACTTTATCTTTTGCCTAATTATCACTTTATTCAGTTAAATAAACAGTATATAAGTAGAAAACAATCTTTTTAATTTTTTTTTATTAGGCTGCTAGTCGAGGAATCAAGATTACACTCGTGTATTAGGCTGTGCTGCTCCCCATGATGTGGTGGAGCAGTAGGAGAACACATGGAGCAGCAGCCAGAGGCCTTGAGGACTCCAGGGCCTGCAGACGTAGTGGGGCTGAGAGGACTCTTATCCTCAGCCTCCTGATCACCACTATCAGGGGGTCCCAGTGGGGTTTGCCTGATAACACAGCATTGCTGATAACAGTAGCCCAGGTCTCGTTCCTCTACGGAACATGCTAATGCCGTTAGCTCCCTCATTACTCCACCGGCTACTGGCCTATCAGAAGCCAGTCACCAGTCCAGTTGCACCATAACATCTACGATCCCCCGGCAATCACTACTGTCTTACATCCAACAAGGGACTCATCAGACTGCTGTCTACCGGAGCCAGACCCTCCGTATTTAAGAGAGGAGAGTTTGTATCCACTAACACAACATGCTGTTTGTCTTGAAAGCCTGTGCTTCATAACAATTATAATCACTAACAATAAAGAGTTAGGAGTATATCAATTTAATTGTGTGTAAAGACATTAGTTGCCAACAATTTGCATCTTTCGTCAATCTTTAATCTTATTAGACAGCTTTTCATTCTTTATCTATGAACTATTGAGCTATTCCTTTATCTGTCAGAGACAGCGTATCCTAATAGAATGGCGGTATTTCAATATTGTTATAAATCTTAAGCAACATGTCTCTAAAAAACTAGGAGCTTATTCAATATGCTGGCTTTAGTGTCCATATCATTTCTCAGAGTCTGGCATTTTCTTTGAAGCAGTAAAAGTGGGAATCCAGGCAAATATATCTTGCAAAAAATACTGTCATGACAAGTGGTTGTTGTCAACAAGTATGTAGACAAACAAGTAAAGTTTTAGGGAAGTAGTAGTAGTGTTTTCAAAGTTGGAGCATCAATGTGGTGTCTCCTAATAAGTGGTTTGACATGTTAGCTTTATTCCTATCGGAGACAGTTGCATTTTTGCATCATCCTCCTGCTCCTAAATAGTCTACAAAGACTCAAATCCCAACAAAAGAACACATGCTCCATCTTCACAACTAAAACATTGTTATCAAAACAAACACCATGGTTCATCTTTTAGTCAAAGGGCATCAAACCTTTGATCTTTTGGAAATATTCTACAGACAGACAGATTTGTATTAATAAGAAGCTGAAAGCATACAGCACATATTGAATAGTGTCAGCACCTTTCTGCACTCAGCACCTTTCTGCATTCAGCTGTGTGGCACTGCTGTCTTTAGAAGGAAACAATAGCTCAACTCACAGAGGCTTATTATCAAGTGATGTCAGATTACGCTTCAATTATGCACTCCCTTGGTACATTGATAAGCAAGAAACAATTGGATATTTGAACACTGAACTTCAACTGAATTTCAACAGAGGGATATATGATTGCTAAATCAAATTATAATTGTTTAACCACTCAAACTAATAAGGGTGTTTTTAAGATATCCGTTATGCGCAATACATTTAGCTGTGTATGTTTGTGCATTGCTGCATATATGTAACTTTGGGCCCTGGTACATATAGATCTGAATTGTACTTAATTCAGGGTACAGTGTAATCGGGGTTAAAATTAAGATACATTTGACTTTGTAAAATGTAGTCATTTGTTTTTTAATGTTTTGCAACTTCCTGTCAATATAAGGAAATTCGTAAATCGTCCCTCACCTGGTTCCTCCGAAGAGGATGATTCGGTCTCCAACCATACAACAGCACTGCCGTCTCCGTGGACACGGGCCTTTCCCCTTGGGTTCTATTTTATTCCAAGAAACGGTTTCTGTAGTTTGTACACACAAGAAAGGAATTAAGTTGACAATATTTAGACACTATGACGTAAAAAGAAGACAGAAGGTGGAGGCTATCAGTAAAGCTTCAGATTACATCCCTGCTCTGAATAGCTACAAAGAGGGATCTTTAGCAGAACAAATGTTGATCTGTGGGCTACTTCATAGCAGTAATACAAACTCTCAGACACTTACATACATACAAGTACAACAGCTTCCCATTGTGCCTGCAGTTCATTCAGATGTACGCTTTATGTAACGAAAACAAGGCCCAAAGGTAAGGGAATGAAAGGGAGCAACAAAACCTTAATTTGAATATAAAACTTTACATTTCAGAAATAGAAACAATCCTCTCTCCTGCTTTGCAGAAGTGTAGTATGACGGTGAAGATCTTTTAGGTGCTCCATATAAGGATGAAATGTTAAGTCTCTCACTCTAAGAGCCAACAGCATCATTGCATCTCTATAGCAACAACAGGCACTTCACACTGTGTTGAATAATTAGGACTATAATTGAGGTGCTGCCATCTAGTGGACTGCAGAGGACAGGTTTAAGTGGTTAACAGCAGTGCACCAAGTCCAAGACTAACTGGACACAAAAGATCATACCTTGTATTTCCCCTATGAAAACGGTGTTATAACAGGTAAGATCAGTATGGCTAATTTCATGATACACAATTGGTGACGTAAAATATTTCACTAGAAATTGCCACAGGCATGAGCAACGCATTGGACTTCCATCTACTTAAGGTGTTGTATTCTAACTTTTCTTTTGTATCATACACCATACAAGACACCATATTGATGCAGAATACATTGCAGGTTTGCCGACAGCTTTGTTTGGAACAAGTGCGCAAGGTTTCTCCCAGAAAACACTTAAACTTACTTGAGAATCAATATGGACAAATATGTAAGAGCAGACAAAGACTCCAGACTCTGAGTGATTGCGTGTTATAGTTTTCTATTGCGTGTTTCTAGTAAAAAGACAGGGCGGGAAAGGGAACAGCCAGCTACTAAGATAAGATTTAGCCTGATGCAATGAGGCACTGTTTACAATGATCTCAACAGAGGGAGGAGGAAAGTGTAGACCCTCCAGAAAAACTTGATTCTGCGATCGCAGAATTTACCGCATAATCAGCAAAATGGCGCAGATTTTTAAAAGGCCGCATATTTATCAAAAGGCCGCATAATCCCCGCATTTTTCCACACAAAGTTGAGGGAAAAAAAAGTTAACTCATCTTGACGTGACGTCATCAGCTCGCGCATCACAGAATGTAAACAACACTGTATAGAGTGAACGTGTGGAGCTCACACGATAGAGAAAACACCAAGATGAAAAAATCTAATCCATCTCATTTACCGACGAACATTTCTACTAAAGACCGGGCAAAAAGTGGGGGGAAACTATTCTGCACCCCGTGCAACTGTGTGTTGGAGCATAAGAGAAAATCGACGTTGACGACCCACTTTGATTCATCCAAACATTCGAAAATGCTTTCTGCTGCTGCGGACAAGAAAGCCAAACAACTCACGTTCATCAGGCATCA